TTCCGGTTGTTTTTGTCTCGGAGGAGGCGGGAGAGGGTCAGATCCTTTTTGTTTAGGCATTTATGAAGTGTCATGGATTAATCCAATCTGGAAAGTGGGAGAACCACGAACTTTTTGGCCAAAAATTTCTAAAATACCCCGGCCCACCCCCTCAATAAAAAACGTACCTTTCCTAACAACCCGCTCTGAGCTCTGCGCGAATTCTCACGTAAGGTGCCCAAGGTTTGGGTTTTATCGACGGGAAAGCCAGCTTTCTTTACTTTGGAGAATTAGAATTACAGTATTGATATTAGTTATAAATGATAACGCTAATAATAATAATAATAATAATAATAATAATAATAATAGTGACAATTGGTGAATCAGTAACAAGTCTCGTATTTCGCAGCTGCATAAAAACCCTAGCCTGTGTTGCAGCCGGACGTGTCACACAATCCCCGGTATAGTCCGTCGGTTTAGACTGTCTGCGACGCAGGCTAAAAAACCCGAACTGAATAACATCTATCGACATTAGTTTCGATTTTTGGGAAACGATCTCGAAATGTTTCTGTGAAATCAAACGAGGCTCTTCGAGTGATGTATTACCTGTATTTATTATCCAACTACACCGCTGTTCCGCTTAGCATACTTCTGTCACGCACTCCCCATAAATAAATATCCGCAAAATTCGCCCGCACTGAAATAACAATTTGGCATGTTGGATAATAAATAGGAAAGAGTACCATATAACCCCTTACATTAATTTTGCATTCCACTTCTTTGTCTTTCACGACAAAACTTTAAAAACAAAGTCTACTAGTCTGAATGCATGATTAATGTATGGGGTTGTATGGTACTCTTGCCAATAAGGAAGTTGACTCTTATTTTAAATTACAAGAAGATCCGAGCTTTCAAAGGAAAAGCTTTCACTCGCTTTACAAAGCAGAAGGTTTATGTCCACAGTATTCCTTCAAGATTCCACGCTTTCTTTAGCTTTTGTTTTTACTTCATCATCAAAGGCCTGGATACAAAGAAAACAGCATTATTGCCATAACAACCGTCAATCATTTTAAATTATACTGCCGTGACGAGACAAGAGTTTAAACTAATGGCTGAGGTCTTCCTTGGAGCTCGAGAAAGTGGGAACATGCTTAAACTTCGAATGTAGTTCTTTACAGAGTAAGCCCTCCGTCATAGGGCTGTGTGTACCTAGACGATCAAATTCTGTTGCCTTTTCGTTACGATGACAGGCACCCGAACTTATCCTCACCAGCGAGGCAGATGGCGCCAATGCCGGTTAACTTCGAATCGCCTTGGAATAATTCTCATTGTTCTTAGCTTGATGTGGGGAATGTATTTAATTCAAGCACAACTAAATGAAAGACAATCACAGTCTGAATACTTGAAGGAGAAAATTATTGCATTATCGAAAGAATACATCGATGCAGTCGCGAAGGAGAAAGGCTTGCATTTAACGCAGTTAGGAGCTAATGGTAGGTAGAGTTATGACTTCCTGCCCGCGTATTACTCATTAAAACAGGTGGTTTTCATTTTCTTCTTGCGTGTAGAAACATATTCTCGGTAAGCCCTGCTACTGTTGAATCTAAAAACATTTGGCGAAGTAATATTTTCACCTTTTATTTTGTTACCAAATTTCATGGAAGAAAATTAGGCCTCTAAATATTTAAATATGTTTTTTGAGAATAATTTTGAAAGTTCATACGTATTCACCTACTCTTGAAAACCTACTCTTGAAAACCTACTCTTGAAATTTATTTCGATGTCAAATTGGTGTCGTGATATTTGAGCCAATATTTCTAACGAGTTCTCTGGACTTTGCCTTTTTCGAATTTGTTTTTTCTACCGTGTCAAATATTTTCATCCCGTCTTAAATACATAAACTATAAAACTTGCAATAACGTTTGGCAAAAAATAGTAAAATTTGAGCTCGATGGTTCGGCACTCGATGAAGTGAAATCGACGGACATGCTGAAGTGCAGTTAGACTATTGTTTGAGAAGTATACAACGGTCAATATTAATATTCGTTCGTGATCAAAACAAAGTCGAACAAATCGCATGACCATGCAACCATCCATATCTACTCCGTCACCTGCTGTGAACATGCAAACAAAAATATTTGCACAGTTGGGCTTCCTGGCTTAAATGAAAACCACCTTTAACATTCATTATGGTTTTGAACTTGTTCGTAAACAAGTAAAAAGTGTTCAGTCCACTGTAATTGATTGCATGTGGGTAACTTTTCTAAGACAAATGTGTAGTCCCAAAGGCAACTTAACAACTGCATTACTAAGTGGAAGTTGAGTGCCTGAAACATCCAGGGGCTACTACCTTTGGTAACCAGCCCCTAGGTGGAGAGTTCTTCCATGGCTGGCAAAATCCTGTCAATGCAGCTATGAGCCCCCCCACACAGGAAAGGGAAACAAGCACCTGCCACACTGAATAAACAATAGAAAAAGGCAGGGAATGGATGGGGAAAACTGCTTGGGAATGCTACAAGTACATGCTCAAAGCACATGCAGGAACGCTTCAAAAGAAGAGCACATGGAATTCTGACACATGTGCATATGCAAAAACTGCTGATTACTAGAGAACTCTGATGCTCTTTGTTGTTAACTCTGTTAAATTGTCTGTAACAACTACATTCTACAAGCTTCACCATTGTTTTCCTGATCCAAGAAATGCATGTATTATTCATTTTGGGACTGTAGGTTTCACCACTACACAAAATTAATTTCACTACTTGGCCATGTTGTAGCTTTGTCTGTATATGTCGTTAAAATCCACCTATGAATCCATAGCGACATAATGTGTTAATTCATGGGGCATAATTATTTTATCAATAAAGATTTAGAAATGCAAAGACTAGCAAAAACTAACGATAAAAACCGACGTTTTGGTGTCATC